TAAGTTTTCTTATCTTTCTCCCTTCTTATCCCCTCCTTTTATACCCTATCATCGAGTTCCTATCTTCCCTCTATTTCCTGCTTCGAAACGCACGCACGTAGACGAAATTAAACATAATAATAGATAAAGGAAAAGATAAAATACGTAAGGACTAAATACTCTGCCATTTTCTCTTCCTCTCTTTCTCTCCTTTCTTTCTTTCGCTCTCGCTCTCTCTCTCTCTCTCTCTCTCTCTCTCTCTCTCTCTCTCTCTCTCTCTCTCTCTCTCGATTCTATCTCTGTTTTGTGTTTCACTTGTTCTTTCGTGCTTCTTCTTTTAATTTTTTTTCTTCTCTTGTTTCTCTTTGTTATTTCTCTCTCTCTCTCTTATCTTTCTTTTATTTCTTATACGTCTGTTTCTCATTTTTGTACATCTTCTATTTCTATTTTTTCCCCTTTTTATAGTTTTTCTCTCTTTTCTTCTTTTTTACCTATTCATCTCTACCGTTTCTTCTTCTCCATCTCTACCTCTGCCTTTTCGTCCTTCCTGTTTCTTCCATTCTCTCTTCTTTCCCTTTCCTCTCTGTCTTTTCCTTCTCTTTATTTTGATTATTTTTCTTTTCACCTAGCTCTCCTCCTCCTCTTCTTCCTTCCTCTTCTTATCGTTTCATCCTCCTTCAACCTCCAATCATCTTCTTCTCCTTCTCCTCCTCCTCTTCCTTCATCTCCATTATTCCTCTCGATTCGACGTTCCTTTCAGTCCCTGGCGGATCGTGTCTTTATATGAAATATATTGAGAAAGAGAGAGAGGGAGAGGGAGAGAGAGGAAGAGAGAGAGGGAGAGAGAGAGAGAGAGAGAGAGAGAGAGAGAGAGAGAGAGAGAGAGAGAGAGAGAGAGAGAGAGAGAGAGAGAGAGAGAGGAGAGAGAGAGGGAGAGAGAGAGAGAGAGAGAGAGAGAGAGAGAGAGAGAGAGAGAGAGAGAGAGAGAGAGAGAGAGAGAGAGAGAGAGAGAGAGAGAGAGAGAGAGAGAGAGAGGACGCAGGAGAAGTGCACCTGATGAACCTGTGATATATTTGGGCCAAAGTTCATCGTCGGGGCCATCGAAGGGAAGCAGATGAGATACGCCATTAATCCCTTGCCTTCGCCCTCTCTTCCCTTTCTCCTAAACCTCCCTCTCCCTTCCTTTCCCTTTACCCTATTCTCCTCTCGTATCTCTCTCTCTCTCTCTCTCTCTCTCTCTCTCTCTCTCTCTCTCTCTCTTTCTCTCTCCTCTCTCTCTCTCTCTCTCTCTCTCTCTCTCTCTCTCTCTCTCTCCTCTCTCTCTCTCTCTCTCTCTCTCTCTCTCTCTCTCTCTCTCTCTCTCTCTCGCACGCACGCGCACACACACACACACACACACACACACACACACACACACACACACACACACACACACAACACACACACACACACACACATACACACACACACACACAACCACACACATATATATATTCAGGAAACGTTTCTCTCTCTCTCTCTCTCTCTCTCTCTCTCTCTCTCTCTCTCTCTCTCTCTCTCTCTCTCTCTCTCTCTCTCTCTCTCCCTCTCTCTCTCTCTCTCTCTCTCTCTCTCTCGCTCTCTCTCTCTCTCTCTCTTATATTTAATCTTGAAACATCCTTTAATAGATTTTCTTTTTTTATATCTCAATCTCTTTGTCGTATAAATATCTGCCCATTCCGACTAACGTCATTCCCTCTTTGAAGAGAATATGATTTATTCTGTAGTTGTGCCTGTCTGTTTTTTCTCTCCATTTACTCCCATTTCTTTTCAGTATTATTTTGTTTCTCTTCTCCCCTTCTCTTTTCTCTTCCCTTCCCCCTCCTTACCTCTTCCCCTCCTCATTTTCTTCCCTTTCCTCACTCTCTCTTTCCCCATTTCCCCTTCCTCTCCCCCTTTCTATGTCTTCCTCTCCTCATTTTCTCTCCTTTCCTCATTTCCCTTTTCCCCCTCCCCTTCGCTCCTTTCTCTCCCCATTTTCTTCCTCTTCCTTACTCTCTCTTTCTCCATTTTCCTATCCTCTCCCCCTCTCTCTCTTCCTCTCCTCATTTTCTCCTTCCTCAATCTCTTTCCCAATTTCCTCTTTTCTTCCTCTCATTCCCTCCTTTCTCTGCCTCATTTTCTCCCCTATTCTCACTCTCTCTTTCCCCATTTTCCCATCCTCTCCCCTCCCTCTCTCTTCCTCTCCCAATTTTCTCCTCCCTCCTCCGTCTCTTTCCCAATTTCCTCTTTCCTCCCCCCCCTCCCCTCCTTCCTCTGCCTGATTTTCTCCCTTATTCTCACTCTCCATTTCCCCATTTTCCCTTCCTCTCCATCTCTCTCTCTTCCTCTCCCCATTTTCTCCTCCCTCCTCCGTCTCTTTCCCAATTTCCTCTTTCCTCCCTCCACTTCCCTCCTTCCCCCCCCCACCTCCTCTCCCTCACACCCCCACGATCGGCGCTTTTTCCCCTCGGAGATTCGCTTGCGTGTTGACCACCTGGCT